CCGGCTGCGGGTCTCCGTGTGCAACTTTTTATCGCCTTGGGGTCCAGATGCGAGACTTGGAGCTGTTTTCTAACTCTATCCATACATGTGTGTGATCTAATAAAACATTTTCTCCTCTCCTTGAAGCAGGAGCTTTTTATGACATCTCCTTTCTGTCAGAGACACTTGCCTTCTTTGGGTTATAAACTTTTGATGCCAGACCTCTGCAGAACGCGCCCAACTGAATCTTAAAGTAGCTTCACCGAGAGAGGCAGAGAACGCACAATCTGTGACCTTCGTCCCTGCTCCTTCTTTCGTGCTCTCTCTCCCCCGCGGGCTCCCTCCGCCCCAGGGAGCGTCGAGAAAGCTCTTTTTTGGATGCAGGAGGGGGCATCTGGTTCTGCTAGGCTGGAAAGCTGAGGCTGGAGCAGAGGAAGAATTATTAGGCTCCGGAGAGCCTGGACTCAGCCTTTCCTTCTCCCGCTCCCAGCTCGCTCTCCCTTTCTTTGCTTTTGGCCCCACAACACTTCCGGCTGTTCTGAGAGGGCAGGGGACAAGGACCGTGCTGCTTCGGGAGTTCTGGGAAGTTGTGACTGACAAGGATGGGGGTCTGTGGGTACCTGTTCCTGCCCTGGAAGTGCCTCGTGGTCGTATCTCTCAGGCTGCTGTTCCTTGTACCCACAGGAGTGCCAGTGCGCAGCGGAGATGCCACCTTCCCCAAAGCTATGGACAACGTGACGGTCCGGCAGGGGGAGAGCGCCACCCTCAGGTAGGGAGCCTTCCTTCATCTGGGGACTGAACCCATTGGACATGGCTTCAAGGGGAGAGGGGGCGTGAAAGAGAAAAGAAGGCCTGAAAGAGGGGCATTGGAGCATGTGAGAAGCCTTTTGCAGGCCCAAGAAGTGGCCACTTGCGTCGTGTGCTTGCTGATACCATTTTTTTTTTCTTGGATGGCTTTGTCATTTGGTCCTCTTTTGGTCTGCAATTTTACAGGGACTGTTGAAGTCTACACTTGGAACTCCATGTGTTCATGGGACCATGGCCCCATGGTGTGGACACCCGGATGAGACTTGTGGACACTGGCATGTAAACACTGCGTGGTTAATTAAATACCCTTGGATTTTTCTTCCAGGCCAGGAGGATGTAATGACATAGGATTGGCATCAGGATAGCCAGCTAACTAACTCTCTTTGGCAGAAGTGTGTGTTGCTTGTGTATGGGGGTGTGTGGGGGGATAATCTCACAAAGACTCTAGATTTCCCGTGCCAGCCCACGATCTTTTATGAGTCTGCTGAAGATATAGCCACTCAAACTAAACCTATGCTGTGCACTCGGGCCCTGATGTAAATTATGAGGCCTTTGTATTTTTGTGTTCTGGGGCCAAGAAGAGGAAACATGTAGCGTTTATGCAGCGACATCATTCCTGTGTGAGAAGCACAATAGAGAAGCTTTTTGTTTTAGCTTAATGAGTTACAGAGAATCACTTCCATGCTCTAGGCAGAGGGGTGGAGATGCTTGGAATATGAACCTTTGGGGACTGGGCCTGCTGCAGCAGAGACTTTAATAAAAATGCAGCCACCACTTTCCACCAGCTCAGCAGATATCATCTTTTATCCCTTTAATGAGGCAGTTCTGGTCCTAGGAGACAGATTCGGGGACGTCCCAGCTTAACTACGTCTCACAGTGTACACAGGGTGAATGCATTTGCCCTGCCTATGACTTTGATGGTTATGGTGAAAATAAAACATCCTGACCCAGATTCTGTAGCCAGAATGCCTGGCGTCTGCAAGGAGAGATAGAGGGTGGGGTTCACTTCTTCTTGTTGCCTGTGCTTTTCCTTGTGGAGCCCTTCCAGCCTACACTCAAGTCTCATCGAGAGGAAGGATCAAGAGCCTCTGAGACATTGCTGTTCCTTATGTTAAACTTGGATACTTGCTACCTTGGTTGGTTCTTAGGTGAACCTTCTTTTCAGCTAAAGCCCTATCTTCTGGACCTGCACAGTCCTAGAAAGGAGAACAGAGATGTCCCTTCCAGGCCGTATGAGTTGCAAGTGCTTCTGGCTCCATGAGTATCCCTTAGCTTGTAGCAGATGCGAGTGCATTATCCTTACTTTGTTGCTTCAAGAAAGGTTCCAAGTCTGCACTTTGAGATATGATTTGGAGGAATACATATTTTCAGAGGACTCGTGGTTTACAGGTGCCAACAATATATAATCACAATGTATATGAACCCTGGGAAATGTGCATACACACTAATGGGGGGAAAGGATTTGAACACTGCCACACACCTCTTTTTCTTCCTTTGTTTGAGGAAAAGAGTTCCATAAACAAGGGGGATTTCACCAATAAATTTCCAAAATCTGCTGTCCTCCTCTTGCCCCTTAAAATTTAAATCAGAAACCTAGAAACTTGGGCTTTTGCCTTCTGGGATGCAGTAAGATCATTCTACCAGCAGAGGGCTGGCTTCCATCTACCATTTTTTATTAGCTGCTGGCCTGTTTTCATGATCTTCAATTCTTCTGTTTAACAGCTGGGCTTGGTAATGGGAATGAGAATAAAAAAAGGAAAAGCTGAATAGTTGCTTTTCATGCTTTGTGGAAAACAACAACGTACATATTCAGCTATGACTGCTGCTGGTTACCTGACTATTGTTGTAGCTGATGTTAAAAGTAAGCACATTCCCAGCGTTAAGTTTTGCCTCTCTCCTCTCTTCTGCACATTTTCCCTGTGTAGACAAATCTATCCCCTTGTCCACGTCTCACCCTCCAGGTGTCTTCTTCATTTTTTTAACCTTGTGTACTCTTTTCTTTCATTACTCTATTTTTACAGGGCACCTCCCTGAAACTCTTTGCTGTTTGTTACTCATGTTATTTCATTTCTTCCCTTCATCATTAATTCTTACCATTCTCTATGTTAGAACCTGATTAATCTTTTTGCTACCATTTCAGCATTTCTTGAAATAAACTGAATGCCCTGTGCAGATTTCTGTGGCTCTCTCCTTTTCTTTTCCTTCCAATCTGTTCTATAAGCTGGCAGCTGTGTTCCCTTATCAGTAAATCTTGGTCCTCAGTTGTTCCACAGAGAGGCCACATTCTCAGTAAATGAGAGCCCACAGCCTTGGCCTGGGGAAAATCTATCATGTGTTATTTGGTAGTCCTTTTGCTCTTTAAAAAGTATTGCTCATTTTGTTTATTTTTTGCAACATTGAGGATTCAAATCCACAGTCTTATGCATGTTAGGAACAAGTTTTGCCACTGAGATCTCTCCACAGCCTTACAGCTCTATGGAAGTAACTTTTAAGTCTCCTTAAAAGAGTTCATTGGCGATTTATTGCTTGGGAATTTGGTGTTCTGTAAGTGTTGACAAATTAAGTGATACACACACCTAGCTGTTTTACCCAAATTCTAAACACCAAAATTACCAAGAGACCTTATCCTATACAAGAGCAAAGAGTCTTTAATAATTTAACAAGTTAACTGTATTGACTCCTTTCTTCTGTCAATCTGACACAGTGGGTAGAGTCAGAAGGACCCAGAGGGACCAAAGGGCAGGGATTTTATTGGGGCAGAGCAAGGGAAGTGTCTAAGGATCCACAACAGCCTCAGGATTGGTGCACTTCCAAGCTTGGGTGACCTGGCCTGTGTTTATTGATCAACTGGTTGCTATGGCCTATAGGCCCTCCCAGGGTGGTTGCTATGCTCTGTACATCACTGTTACCATAAAGCACATTCAGAGTCCACCAGCTAACTTCTGATTGGTTCCTTGCCATATAGAGGGTATCTGGCTTCCTAGTGACTTGGGCAGGCCCAGCAAGGTCAGGTAGGAAACTCAGCAACATGTGCTGAGTCAGAGGCCTACATCTTGCTGGGTCTTTTCTTCAGCCTGTCATGGCTGCTAAAGTAGGGGGCTGGGTAAGGGTCTGATCCCTTCGCTAGCAACATTAGAAAACCCTCTCTAAGGTGACTGCCCCAGTTTATGTGACCTCCAGTCTGTTCCTAATTCTTGTACCAAGTCAGGCAAGGACCAGAGACCAGTAAGTAAAGCAAAGAAATCCAGATGCCTAGGTAGACCCTCAGATTTTCCTATGAGAAGTTCCCAGCTCGGAAGACAGTTGTCTCCTGTAGGAGATCAGTTTTGTGTGACAGGCCTTTGGTTGTACTGAGGGACCTTTGGAAGTGATGTACCAAAGAAGACCCTGAGTTTTCAGTATAGATGAAAACTCATTTTACATAAGTGAGATGATACTATCACCCCTGTAACTACTTCATAGGGCTGCTTGAAAAGTAAAAATAATTATTTTAATATTGAGTTATTTTGCCTTTTTGGAAGAGAGATGATATGGAAAATGAAGGTGCTATTCTTTATGGTTGAATTATAGCTTCTATGAATCTGATTTGAATTCATTATTACAAATGGGCCCTCTTGGCCGGAATCATTTCATTACAATTATGTGCTGTTGGGTTAAAAATGTTCTGTGACTTTCCATTAGATTAGATATGACAAGTATCTAGGAGTCCTCTGTCTGAATCAATGCCCATATTCAGATGGGTGGCTAGGGTATGACAACAGTCAGCTGACATCTATTAAGCCATCTCAGCAGCAGCCATCAGCTAGCCATACTTTCTTCATGGGCCACGGGGACTTCTTGCTTTTCTTTAGTTCCTTTGTAGGGTTTTGTTTCCCAGTTCACATGGATATTTTGAGGGATGCCATAGATGAGTGGCTGTACTTGTGATAATTTGTTCCAAGCAGTGGCAAAAGCCAATACAGTGGTTTGTTTTATTGTTGCTCTTGTTATTGTTTGTTTGCTCCCTTTTTCATAGTAGAGTAATCCATCGCTGATCCATGCTTGCTGATCTGGGATTATGCTTAATGGCTCTTTTTCTAAACTGTCCTGCATTTTCGCTTGGAGTTTGGAGGTACTCCATTCAGAACAAGCATTTGAGGTTTAACTACTGCCAGAGAATAATCTGGGCAGTGGAATTTTGCCAAATCAGCTGGGACAGTGGAACTCCCAAGGACAATGCCCTTGTGTTGAGCTGGGTGTTTTCTGTCTTGCACACCCACTGAAAGCAGCTTGCCCTTTTGCATGAATTAGGACAACTATCAGGTCTTTCAAAGTATGCATGAAGCCTGTGTATGTTAATTTTGAAGGTGCCAAAGTTAGGGCTTGTTTCAGTGTGAGGTAGTTCTCTTGATCTGGGAAGATGAGTACATGAAAAGACCTTCCAGCAGATCCAGAAAGAACCTCCTTCATGGTGGTGATAACCTGGGCTTCTTGTGAAGGCACTTGAGAAACTATTTAAAATATCCCCTTGAAAGTGAGGATGAATAGAGTTCATGCTTAACACGAGTACCCCCAGGATGAATCAGAAAATAAAATTCAAATATTAGTCTCAGAGACTAAAGGAATCAGGATCTTTGGAGGTGGCCATGAATCCGGACATTTAAAACACTTTTCCAGCATTTCTCGAGTAAGCCAGAACTTGGATCCACTATTCTACAGGCTTTTTGAGTTTTAATATCTGAGCAAGGCTATTTTCCATGGTCCTTCCCTTGCACTGAAGCATCTCTCCCATGATATGTATGTGCCTTGTAGCTGTACCAGTGCTCTAGAAAGAGCAGAGCTCAGGGCCTGTCTACCTCTGGCTGACTCTTATACTATATCACACTGGCTCTCTGATGATTCTCAATTCGGTATGTTTGTGTACATATGGAAACAATTTCTGCCCTGTATATAACATTATATGAGAAAAAGGATACAGAGTTG